AAGTTCTTGAGGTTCTGTGAGATTAGCTCATGTTATTAAACCTTTAACATCAGTTGCTCTTCGTCATTATTTTTCTTCCCTACAATGATATTTTACTGTATTCACCTGAATATGTTCTCATTGTTGTTCATGCTAGATAATTAGCCAACTTTACATTCCCTTTTATTTAGCTTATAAAATTGTAAAGTATGTCTCTAATCTTATAAAATTGACAGGTTACTAAATTATTGTTCCTCGTGAAAATCTTGTAGGTTATATCAAACTCTCCTGACTAGAAGAGTCCTTACTGGTGGCATACTAACTTGATTTTGGGTCATTAGCTGCACTTCTTAGAGGTTTCACATCTTTCCAAATATTTTTTCAATGGATAAATCTTGGATTCGATTGCCAAGGAACACAAATGAATATTTGTTTGGATTGAATTAAATTTTAGATTTTGCATTTAAAAATGGAGCTATAGAAGAAAGAATAAAATGTCCATGTCCTAGATGTGGTTTTGTGAAGTGGTTGACTAGAGACATAGTGTTCGATCATTTAATCTGCAAGTCATTCCCTCAAGATTATGTCACTTGGGTTTTTCATGGCGAAATAAATGTGTTGCAGAACTTTAATAACATAGAGGTCACTCAAGATACACTACTTGTTGAAAATTCAGTGGACTTATTGATTAATGAAGCATTTCAGGGCTTAAGACATGAGAGTATTGATGTAGGTTCATCACAAACAGAGAGAGAAGAAGAAATGTTAAATGATATGCCTGCTTCAAATAGTAAAGACTTTTTTGAGTTGCTTAGAGATGGAAGTCAAGAATTGTATAAAGGTTCCAAGTACTCAAAGCTAGAGTTTTTGTTAAAGTTGTATCATATAAAGAGTTTGTCTGGGCTAAGTGACAAGGGAAAGACTATGATACTAGATCTATTGAGAGATGCATTTAAATTTGCAAGTATCCCTGATTCTTTTTATGAGGCCAAGAAAACCATCAAAAAATTTTGTCTTGATTATATAAAGATAGATGCTTGTCCAAATGACTGCATGTTGTACTGGGGAGAGGATGCTAATGAAGAAACATGCAAGTATTGTCACATTTCTAGATGGAAGCCTAATGAGAGGGGCAACAAAAATCGCGTGCCTGCTACAAGTAAGAAGAAGAAAAAAAAGCCTGCAAAAATTTTGCGTTACTTTCCACTAAAACCAAGGTTACAAAGACTATTCATGTGTTCTAAGACTGCAGAGCATATGAGATGGCATGTGGAGCATAGTAACAATGATGGAATAATGAGGCATCCTAGAGATGGTGAGGCATGGAAGAGGTTTGATACAATATTTCCTGAATTTGCTTCTGATCCCTGAAATGTTCGATTAGGCCTAGATAGTGATGGTTTCAATCCTTTTGGAACGATGAGTATAAATTATAGCATTTGGCCAGTGGTTTTGGTTCCATATAATCTTCCACCTTGGTTGTGAATGAAGCAACCAAATTTTATCCTCTCAATGATCATTCCGGGTCCATGTACGGCGGGTAATAATATAGATGTATACTTACAACCCCTTATTAAGGAGTTGAATGAGTTGTGGTGTGAAGGTGTGGAAACTTGTGATTCATCAAAGAATGAAATATTTAGAATGCGAGCAGCTCTTATGTGGACAGTCAGTTATTTTCCTGGTCTTGATATCTTATCTGGTTGGAACACACATACTGATTTTGCATGCCCCTCTTGTAATTTTGACTCAGAACCTTGTTGACTTCCTCATAGTAGAAAATGGTGCTTTATTGGTCATCGTCGATTTTTGGCAAGAAATCACAAATTTAGATTGATGAGTCATCATTTTTTGGAGATGTAGAGGAGAGGAATCCGTCGAGGAAGTTATCGGGGTCAGACATTTTGCAACAAGTGAAAGAAATCGATGCTACCTTTGGAAGGCCAGTAGAGTTGAATGCTAGAAAGAAAAGAAATAGACAAAGAAAAGATGGGGAAGGTGCAACCCAGCAGTGGAGAAAAAAAGCATATTCTTCAATCTTCCATATTGGGAATTCAACTCGTTGCGCCATAATTTGGACGTCATGCACATTGAGAAGAATGTGTTTGACAATATTTTATACACTTTGCTAATGGATAAAGACAAATCAAAGGATCATGTTAAGGCTCGAAAAGATCTACAAGATATGGGTATAAGGCGTGATTTTTGGCCAGATGAGAAGGAGAATTATCGCCTTGCTGCATTTGCAATTCCAAAAGAGAAGAGAGTCGCCTTCCTTAAAACATTAAAGAATATTTCAGTGCCGGATGGTTACTCAAGTAATATCTCTGATTGTATTGATCCGGATCAGAAGAGGATCTTCGGATTAAAAAGTCATGATTGTCACATCATCATGGAACAATTGTTGCCTGTTGCAATTTGAAATGTGCTTCCGAATGAGGTTGTTGCAGTCTTGGTAGAGCTTTCTTCCTTTTTTAGAAATCTTTGTTTGAAAAGTTTGAGCCTATCTAACCTAGAGAAGCTACAAGATCGGATTGTACTCACACTTTGTCACTTAGAGATTTTGTTCCTTCCATCTTTCTTCACTGTCATGGTTCATTTAACTATCCATCTAGTAGATGAAGTGATACAAGGTGGTCCAGTACATTATCGATGGATGTATTTTGTTGAAAGGTAAAAATTTATTATTTTATAACATTCTTTAAATCAAACTTTTAATATTAATTCGAATTGAATGCTTGTTCTAATACTATTTCATTTTCGTTATAGATTGTTAGGTCATTTCAAGTCTCTTGTAGGGAACAAAGCACAACCAGAAAGTTCCATTGCTGAAGGTTATATTGTTAAAGAAGCTCTGACTCTCTGTTCTCGTTATTTTGAGGGTATCGAGTCAAGGATAAATAGGCCTAAACGTGTAAACGATGAGCTAAATCATAATAAGGATTCTGAAGTATCATCTTTGTTCCCTCAACAAGGTAAACCTATTGGAGGCTCCACAATATTTTCCTTGTCTCCTTTGGAGAAGGCTCAAGCTCATCGATATATGTTACTTAATTGCGCAGTAGTGAAACCATTTATTGAGTAAGAAAGTTTATTGTAATTTATTTTTTAGAAAATTTTTTAAAGTGAAATGATTAAATTAATATAGGCGATTCCTCTGTAGTGAATTTAGGAACCACATTAAAAGGAATTCAAGAGGTCGAAGACCTTCTGCAACAGAGGTAGAGGGAAGAATTAATAAAGAGTTTCCTGATTTTGTTTCCAAAACGAGTGAGTGAATAATATTGCTAATATCTGTTTATGCATAAGTTGTATTAATTTAGATTATTTAATAAAAATAATTTTGTTTGTTCGGATCATGAATCCAGATATAGCAAACACAATATCTACTGATTTGGAGTTCTTAGCACGAGGTCCAATGCCAGATGCAAGAAGGTTTACTGCGTATAACATTATGGATTCAAGTTTTGGACTGTGTCTACAGAACAAGAATTGAAAACTCAAAATAGTGGAATTTTTCTTACCTCTGACACCTCTTGTATTGCATCTAATGCTGATAGAAATGCAAGACAAGCAGAGTTGCCATATTATGGGAAGTTGGAATACATAATTGAGCTTAATTATTATGGACGATTTATGGTTGTGCTCTTCAAATGCCAGTGGGCTGACACTACTCGGGATAGAGGGTTCAAAATAGATGTTTGAAAATTTAACTGTGTCAATTTTCTAGATTGATTCACACGGGTGATCGTGAGACCATGATCCTTATATTGAAGCGTCTCAAGCAAATATGGTCTACTATGTTAATGATGAAACTGATAAAGAATGGAGTGTTGCTGTGCATCTAAAGCCAAGAGATTTGTTTGACATGGGAGATGTTGTTGAAGAAGAAATTTATGAGAATGAGCCATACCAACAACAAGAATTGGAACAATTTTTTTATGTTAATTATGAGAATATCAACGTTGCAATAGAGAAGCATATGTCTGACTAGGAATTAGGCTATTTTATATGAGTGAGAAAGATAATTTTCTAAGTACTGGATGTTAATTTTCTACATTTGTGGCAAGTGTTTTCTTCAAGTTTAAAACTTGTCTTTTTTCTGAAGATGAGTATATCTTTTACATTCCTCTAGTAAGCTCTTAGTTTCTTCAATTTTATTGTCTAGCTTTCTATTCTTTATTGGTATATATAGTGTGATGTGTATTGACATTCTAATGCATGTTGTATATTACCATCTTTAATATGATTATTAGCGAATATCGATTCTGCCATGCACTAGACTTCGCATTTATCTTCTGTTTGCATGTTTGATGGCATGAAAATAAGGGTCCATTTGATCATCTGATCTAGCAGACAAGTATTTGTGTGCCACTGTGAGATTCATTGATTTCTATTGCATTATAGATTATTTGATTCTGTTAATTAGGTACTTCAAAAGTGCTTAATTGCAAATCTCATTGCTCTCTATAGAGCAACTAACATGGTAATTGTATGACTCTTGTACAGGAAACTTTGTAATTAAATTGTTCAATCTTTTACCATTCTGGTATATAGTTTTATGCAGTTTATTTTATTGATTCCAGATATGTCAAGGGCCAAGCGTTATCAGAACTTGCAAAAGTCAGTTCAGCCAGCATCTACTTCACAAGGTGTAGCACAACCTTTATCAACAACTGAATCAACACCTTCACATCTTGATGATACGCCGCAGTTGGTATCAATTTTTCAACTGACACCTTCAGTCCAGGCCGCAGCACATCAGACTGCATCAGTTAGGACAACATTACAGCCGACCCTATCAGTTCGGGCTGCAGCACAGCCGGCTCATTCGGTTCAGGCCACATCACAGCCGGCCCCATCAGTTTGGGCTGCAGCACAACCGGCTTATTCAGTTCAAGGCACATCATAGCCAGCCCCGTCAGTTCGGGCTGCAACTCAGCCGGCTCACTCACCACATCACAGCCTGCCCCGTCAGTTCAGGCAACATCACAGCCGACACAATCCAAAAAGCGTCCTGGACGTGAGTGTCCGCAACATTGGACAGTTGATGCAATAGGTATTTCTTTTCTTGATTTATTCAAGCGTCACTATTTAATATTGCCTTTGTCTCTGTTTCTTGATTATAAATTATGGACATGAAACGTCATGATCCCATTTCTCTTGTCCTTGATGTACTATTTCTCATTTGATTACTGGTGAATGATTAGGCAAGTCCTTAGAGCACTAAAGTTGGGAAGAGCCATTGAATTTTCTTGGAGAAAAAGAAGTGATTTTTGAACTTGATAAGATAGAGTTGAGAATTGAACAGATCACAGCATGTGTAATTTGTTACTGGACTGTTTGTATTTTTACCTTGATAAGATAGAGTTTGTTTGGCACTGATAAAAACAAGTTTGTCAGTATTTTTACCTTCTTGACATTGCATTTGAGTGATCCTTTTATGTGTTTTATTTGTAATTTGTTACTGGGCTTAATCCAAATATTATGCATTTATGCACTCACAAAATTTTTAGCTTAAAAGGTGTCGATCGCGAAAGTCATTAGGAGGCAGGAGCGGAGCTAGCTCTTCGCCTACGGCTTCGAACAAACTTAGTAATTTTGTTATTATCTTAATGAAGTTTGGGTTATGCAGAATATGGATTAATTAGTAATTATTGAGATCTGAAATCTCTGAGGAAATAGGACAGGAAGGATCCTTCTTTGTACTATAACTGAAACAGGACAGATATCCAATTCTTAAGTCATTTCCTGTCACTGCTAAACAGTTATTAGTTTCAATGTGTTTGTTAAAGAGTCTGCGCATTCAATCCTAATTTAATCACTACTTGGGAGAATTAACAGGTTCTTTGTTAAGCACTTTTGGACTCTACTTCATTCAAATAAGAATATTGCTTCGGATGGAAAAACTTTGAAACTCTCAATTAAAGCAATAAGTTAACTCATGAATAGCCTCATTTTTTTCAAAGTCATGGAAAGAAGAAGATAAATGTAGAAAGAAAAATATAATGAAGTAGAGTTCAAAAGTGCATTTACCCTAACAGACTAACATATATGTTCTGCATTTTACTTTGGAGGTTGGGCCTATAAATTATCTTGCAGAACGATTTCAATGTCCCACCAGAAATGATTTGTCCCTTTCTAGTTTATGTTTCAGTACTTCTAATCTTGAAAATTTTAGATAATACACCTTTCATTTCTAGCAGAAATTAAGTAGATCATATCTATTTCTCAATAAAGCAAACTATATGGTGGCATGTACCATTGATAATGAAATGTATCCACAAATACAGAAACTAAAAGAAATATTCAAATTGCCAGAATGATGTTGCATGCTGTATTGAATACAAGACAACTTTTTAGCTTTTTATCAGTTTCTACAAAAGTTAGTTCGATCTTTTAACTTGGTGTTTATTTTTAAAGATTCGCAAGGAGCTACCAAGAAACTCAAAGTAAAGGTTAAGGATGTGATGTATTTATCCGACGGAAAATGTATTGTGGTTGAATTTGATGATATGGATCAGCCAATTGGAGAAGGGCAAGGTGTTCTTGCAGGCTATTGTGGAATTTTAGCAACCGACTGCTCCTTATTTCCAATTCACTTCAACAAATGGCCAGATTTACCTAAGTCATACTTCAATGGTTGCTTTGGTCGAATTATAAAGGTATAAGCTCTATTTTCTTATTGTTGTAACTCCGTTTTATGTCGCTAGACTGTATATTTGCATGTAATAGATTAGCTAACAGAAGTTTTATTCCTGTAGCCACGATTCTGTTTTAAGACAACTGAGTTAAATGCACGAGCATATGTTTATAGTTCTATTGGAAAGAAGTGGAGTTCAGGAAGGCAAAGGTTGTGGTATGAGTTCAATGACCCACTTAAGACCAAAGCAGAAATTATGGATAATGTTCCATCAGGAATTCCACGGGATCAATGGACTTCTTATGTTGCTTACCGTTTTAATGAAAAGACAATGGTATTTATTTGCGTGCTTCAATTAGTATGTTCAATTATATACTTTTTTATTTGTATATTTGAGTTATGTGTATTTTTATAAGGAAATGAGTAAAAGAAATGCTTAAATTCGGAAGAAACAAATTGTTGCACACTGGTGGTTCCAAACCAAACTCTAGAAGAAGAGCTGAAATGGTGATAACTGTTAATTCGATATGTTTTACTTTAATTAAACTTGCAAACTGTTCCTATTTAGTCAAGTTATTCTGACTTGATTTTTCATTTATAGATGGCTGAATCTGGACAAAACCCTGGACGAGCGCAACTCTATCTTGCTACTCATAAGAAGGAAGATGGGTCATATGTTAATGAAGCAGCAAGAGAAATATGTGTAAGTTTCTATTTGTTAAAAGCTTCATCCTAACAGACACTTCAGAGCAACTATGCCACTGGTAGTTAAAATGAACGGACGATTACCTGAGGAAATGATGTACAGATTCTGATGTAATGTGACATAAACTAAAATTATGAAGATATATAGTATTAGCTTATCTTTTTGTAAATTGATAAGTATGATCAACTTTCTAACTTTATGAATTGGCTTTCTGCACACCGGTCACATCTTACTTTCAACATCCATGATCCTGTAGGAAATTGCTCGTATGAAAATCTTCATTACTTTAATCCTTCTGTGAAAAGTAATTGAGACTCTGTGAAAAGAATAATTTACCTCTGAGCACATTCTTGACAAGTTGCACAATGACCACAAGGAACAAAGAAGCAGTTTCTTGTATTGTCATAGCAAATAACACATTCTCCCATCATATAAATCCTCTGAAGTGCTTGATTTTCCAAAATTTGACTCTTCTTCATATGTTCCATAAGTTGGTCCTAATTCCTTATGTTGCAACATTGGATTGGTCTCGGTTATTTCTCTTGTTACTGGTGTTTCTTCTACATAGCTCTCATCATCACAAGCTCCCAAAGATTTCAGTATAAAGCAAATGATTATTATAGCTATTCCTGTCACACATTATTAGGTAAGGCCAACATTTTAACTACTAGTCAAATTCTTGATCTTATTAACTTTTCATATAACATAATGGTAATTATCTTGAGACTTTAATTGCCTGAGAGGTTACCTAAAATTCCAACATAAGTGACAAGACGGGCAATGTAAGATATTGCAACAGATACTCCAGACAGGTCTTGCTGCAGTAGACACATCGATGGGACAGAATTCTATGCCATATAAGACAGAATTCTGAATAACATGGTGTTGGGACCTTGGGGTGAAAAGAGCTATTTTTTCTGTAACACTTCATGGGACCATTACCTCCTCAAACAAGAGTTAGAATAGACATTTTCTCGGTGTAACTTACCTGATATGGATGTTGATCTTGTGCAGGAATCTGTCAAAATTCTTGTACATTCCTTCTTCTCTGTGTTTTTGTATCAGAGAATATATTTAAAGCATGATTGCTTACTGAACTGGCCTTTGCTTCACTACTTTTTTGGGGATACCGGGTTTAGTGTGTTTAGAGTAACCACTGCATTGTGCTTATATTAAGAAACCCCATGCTCAGTGTAATAAATTTGTTTTCAAAGTGATTGCTAATGTCCTATTACAGAATATCAGTTGCAATATTTTGTTTTCAAAGTGACTAAAGAATATACATTATCCTTATGTTTTCAATTACTAATTGAAGTTATGACAATGAATTTTGTGTATATTATATTCAGGAAAAAATTGAGCTATTTGTAAGTCAAAGCGCCACAGATGAGTCTGAAGTTTCACCAAATGACGTCGTTGGTAAGGTGCTAGGAAAAGAGCATTCTGGAAGGGTAAGGTGCTTGGGTTAGGAGCTATCCCGAGTAAAGTTTTTAGACAAACAAGATACCGTTTTGGAGGTATAAATTCTTTCAGTTGTGATAATGGTTTATGTTCGTCCAAATGCGAAGAGAAGTACAATCAAATTGTAAATGCTCACAATCAAAGCCAAGAGAACATGCTCAAATGATGACTGCACACCATCAAATGATGAATGCTTTCAAGACATATATGATTATGAAAGAAGGGACAATACCTGAACAGTTTGCTAGGATTTTCGTTTCTCCTCCTCCGGCAGCGGCAAATAAAATCTAGCTATATGTAGTTTTTAATTTGAAAAACTAAAGAAAAAAAACTTTATATGCTTTTATTTCTTTGCAGCCAAGTGATGCAGCTAGCGGATCCATTTCAACTATGAGCGTAAGAGGATCATCTGGTGATAGTAATCTTAATGAAGTCATTGAATATCTTTGCAAATGTAATAGATGATTAAGTATGATACTTTACTTGAATGGTTGAACTAGATATTTTGTGTTTAAGTTTAGTTTTTGAGATTAACGACAAAACTATCTGCTTATGATTCTATAATATGTGGATGTTACTTAACATTTATGCATCTTTAGTATTATGTTAATGCCTCTTAAAATTTATTTAATATAATTAAAATATTGTATTAGAAAAACAGGTATCCCCACAATTGCCCCACCAAAAAAAAAGGTCTTCATGGAATAGGGGAGGTTACAACTACCATTAAATAAACAAATTGAGGGGGTTAAAGCTGCCGCAAAAATAGAATTTCTCATATTTCGAAAATATATTACGGAGGTTGAAACCACCGCAACATGATTATTTTGCGGTGGTTTCATCCCCCATTGAATATTTTTTACAAGATGCGCATTGATTAAAATTTTAATTTGTGGGGGTTAAACCGCCGGAAAATAACCTCCGTTAAATGGTTACGGTGGGCTACAAAAACTGCCACAAAATGATTGCGGCGAACCTTAAAGCTGGGATTGTGAAGACCGCCGCGATATCAAATAACGGGGGTCGCTGACCACCGAAAAACGTGGAAATACCCTCCGCAAATAGGCTATTTTTTTGTAGTGCAACCGGTATCACGACGTGAATCTCGGCCCGTATCAGTGGTAGATCAATGATTAGCGAAAAGAAAGATTTTTACCTTTTTTAGAATTGTACTTAGGGTAAAACTCCCCTACTATATAAAGGGGAAGCTGATTATTCATCAGACACATTGTAAAACGGAGACCAAGGCAATATACTTCTATTCTCTCTGTTTCTAAAAGTCATGCAAAGTTCTTGTTTTTGTTCATAAGTTCTTCATAAGTACCAAGCTCGGGACCGAAGGCAGGTTTCTTATTAAGCATTTAACCAAGCCCGGACTCAGTCCTGCTATTGGTTTGGCTATTTACTCTATCTGTTATTTGCATATCTAACGTCATTAATCACTCGAATTAAATTAAATCACGTATCATTAAAATCGCGTACAAATTCAATTGTTATCCATTTTTAAGGGAAAACAATTTGGCCCTCACGTGTGGCTAAGGATAATAGTGGTAATTTGATACAAATTTTCATAATGTAATCTCTTTAACGCTTGTTCTTTGAGATTTTAATTTCAGGTCAGCTTAAGAATGTCAAACTCTCAATCTGCTCACTTGAACATTGATGCTGAGTCTGGCCACCATGGCGAGAACAACAATATAGTGCCCAACAATGAGGTGCCCCCTGTTGACCCCAACGGAATTCCGATTCCGGACCCTATCGATGCCAACTCACATGTGGCCATCGATGCAAACCTGCCTACCGGCCCTAAGAACAACATTCGCGGAGAAGCCCAATCAATAGCTCGGGGTACGCACGGCGGTGAATGCGATGGGATTAATTTGCGGGTGATCTTTGAAATGTTACAAGCTCAACATATGGTGATTGCCCAGCAATAGAACCAAAGTCGTGCCCCCAGCAGAGCTGAGCCTGAACCATCCCGGGAAAACACCCAAAAAAATGAACAAACCACGAAAAGGCCGGGTGAAGTCGAACTCGGGACCAACACCGAAATAATAAAGATGCTTGAGGAACTAATAAAGCGGGTGGAATCGGGGGAAAAGAAGATCGAAGCCAACGATAAAAAAATGGAGACCTATAACTCCAGAGTTGATCAAATCCCAAAAGCACCCCCGATATTGAAAGGCCTAGATTCCAAGAAGTTTGCCCAAAATCCTTTCCCTCCGAGCGCGGCACCGAAACCAATCCCGAAGAAGTTCCGTATGCCTGAAATTCCAAAGTACAACAGAACCACGGATCCAAATGAACACGTGACCTTCTACACGTGTGCCATCAAGGAAAATGACTTAGAAGATGATGAAATTGAGTCGGTTTTGCTAAAAAAGTTCGGAGAAACCCTGTCGAAAGGAGAAATGATATGGTATCACAACTTACCCCCCTAATTTCATTGATTCGTTTGATATGCTTTCAGATGCCTTCGTAAAAGCTCACGCAGGGGCCATCAAGGTCGAGACAAAAAATCAGACCTTTTTAAGGTAAAATAAAGAGATAACGAAATGCTCAAGTTCGTGTCCAGGTTTCAAATGGAACGAATGCACCTACCTCCGATTGCGGGCGATTGGGTCGTTCAGGCGTTCACTCAAGGACTCAACCCCCAAAGCTCCTTGGCTTCACAGCAACTGAAACAGAATTTGATAGATTAATCGGCGGTATCTTAGGCAGACATCCATAACAGGTACCAATCGAAAATCAGAGTCGAGGATGATCAGCTCGGAGTCCCCTCTGGGTCGTATACCCATCAGAACTAATGAAAGGTCTAAATGAGTCATCGATCATGAACCAAGATAGAACAGAGATCGATATCAACCGTATAGCGGAGATCGAAGGGGTAGCGGATCCGGACATAACCCTACAAGGAATGAAAAAAGGAGAGATCGATGCAATAATAGTCGGGGACTCATGAGTAAAGACAATTTCAACAGAACAATCGGGGCCAGGGAGGCACCGAGATTATCGGAATACAACTTCAATATCGATGATGCCGGTATCGTATCTGTAATCGAACGCATTAAAGATACC